AGGTTCTGAGATGTCAGCACAGAGCCAGTCATGGGGCTCAAACCCAAGAACCATGAGATCATGACCTGAGCCAAAGTTGGATGCTCAACCGACTGAGCCACCCAGGCACCCCAAGATGAGGTTTTTCTTAAAAAGCCAAACCAAATCCCTGAAGATAATAATGTTGGCAATTAAATCAGTTCAGAGACCAGTATGTTTAAGAGATTCCTTTCTTGTAGGCTAGGGAGTGGGAGAAGGTAAAGTTACAACTTAAAAAAAAAAAGTCCTTTAAAAAAAGGAACTAATTGCTTCCTGGCCAAAGAAGCTCGTTCTTTGCAATGACTGTGCCTTTTGGGTTGAACAAACTCAATTCTTACGTCCTTATTTATTTTTGAAATTGCCACGCCTATATGCCAAAAGGGGCAAGGTGAATCTTTCAGTACCGAGTCTTATCTATTTTTTGAGAATGTATATATTATATAAACAAACCATAACATTCTAAAAGCATAAAGTAAAAAGTAACCGCCGTTCCTTATCTCCCTGATACCCCCATCACTGTAGCCACAAGTCTTCTATTTCTCCAGCCAGAACATTTGTATGCATCACGTACGAGTCTATATTGTGTTATTTTTTATATTGTACTATTTTTAATTGTACTTAAAAAAAAAAACAAGTCTTGAAATAACTCGTTTGTATATAACTCCAGTGGCTGGCGGTGTGGGCTTCATCTATCGCACAGCTGTTAATTTTGGTTTCTTTTTTGGTAGCTGCACTCAGATACGCCTGGTGCCTTCAGTTTCCATCGCGGCCGAAAGTTGTAAACACATGAAATACAGAAATAGCACAACGGTTAAAGAAGTCCCAAGGGTCGCGCGCCAAACGAAGCGCGGCGGGCTGAGCCGAGCCCCACCCCGGGAGAGCTGGCGGTCGACACCCGCCGAACGCGCGCGCCTGCACGGCCTCTCCTCCCGCCGGGTGGCGGCCAGTGGCAGGCGCTGCGCGCGCCGCGCTCCCGGACCGCCCCCTTCACGGAGGCGGCCGGCCCAGCCCCCTCCCCCAATTGGCGGACGTGTTGGGGCCTGGGCGCGCGCGCGCGCGCAAGCGCCCTGATGAGTCGCGGCTTCCGGCGCGCTCCTCTGGGGCAGCAGGGGGCGCGCATTGGGCGCGCCTCGGCCGGCTCGGGTCCTCCTGGGGCCTGTGCGGCCCTGTGTGGCTAGAAAGAAAATGGAGTAAGAGCCCGAGTCTGAGGGGCAGCCCTAACCCCTCTGACCGAGGTCCTGCCGGCTTCGCCGCCAGGAGCCTCTCTCTTCTCCGGACCCAGTGCGTTCGAGCGCCCCAGTGGCCTGGGCCCCGTGAGTGGAATGGTCGCCGAGGCCCACGGCGTCGGGCTTCTGCCTGCCCAGTGAAGGGAACTGGGGAGCCTCGAGGGTCCCCGTTCTTCCTACTCCAGGCGCGGACAACTCCGCTTGGTGAGAGCAGGTACCGGCCGGGAAGCGCATGGGCAGTTCTGGGTTTGTTCTGTGACTTGGGTTTCCCAGCTCGCTGTCGTTTATAGCCTCTTCCCCGCCTGCGGGCTTTGTGCATTTGGTGGTGGGGGGCGCGGGGCACGTGGGTTTGTGGAGGTTTTTGTTGGAAGGAGGTGAGGCTGTGGCCGCCCGGGGGTGGGGGAGGGCGGGGTTTCGGGCGCGCCAGCCCGCGGGCGGGAGGCGGGGGGCTCCGCGGGTGGTCAGGGTAAAGGTCACGTGGGCGGGGGGTGCGTTGCGGGGCCGTCGGCGGCCTCTCGGCTTGGGGTCCCAATGATGACAGGTGCCTGTTCCGTAGACTGCGTGAAGCCGGCGCCTTGTCTGGGCGAGTTTGGGCTGGTTCTGTGGCTAAGTTGACTCAGCTTTTCCCTTTGGGCTGGTCAAGTTCGGACACGTTCCTAGTACGCAGCAGAAGGAGCTAAGCCCTGACTTGTCTCCAGCTGGGGCTATTTAAACTATGCTTTTTCCCAGCTGTATTCACTGGCGATTAGAGGTAGATACCTGTGGTCACCGACGTAGAGCACTTATTCTACATTGATCCAGGTAAGGACCCGCTTGTTACTGGCTTTAGTTTTACTACAATATTTAAGGGCAGTGTTTATCTTCTTCCCATATGACTTTGTTGGTTTTTTTTTCACCTTTGTTTCATTATTTCAAGTTTTTATCATGTGTGTTTTTTTCCTACTCATAGGCAAATGTGCAATACCAACATGTCTGTGTCTACCGATGGTGCTGTAAGCACCTCACAGATGCCAGCTTCGGAACAAGAGACCCTGGTTGGTATTTTTGTCTCAAGTGTAACTTTTAAGAATAATTTATGAGGTGATCAACTAAATTCCATAGACCACATTTATGGCATGGCTCTTTAAATGAAATTGTATGAACATAGCTTGAATTCTGCCACTCAGGCATAACTGTAAAAGCTGACTGTAAGAACCTGTATCATTTTCTTCGTACTTTCCCACACTGGATGTAAAATTGAGTTCCATTATATTCTTAAGCATGGATGCTGAAGCTATGTTTATTATGTGACCGATTTTTTTTTCTATTTTGACTTATTGAACTTCCTAAATGGTTTCTAAAAGTCACAAAACTAATTCATGCTTAGAAAGATTTTAGGCATTACAGAAAACTGAAAATTCTGATCATCTCTCTCTTTTTTTTTTTTTAAGTTTATTCATTTTGAGAGAGGATCCCAAGCAGGCTTCGAGCTGTCAGCACAGAGCCTGATGTGGGGCTCTGTCCCATGAACCATGAGATCATGACCTATGCCAAAATCAAGAGTCAGACGCTTAACTGACTGAGCCACTCAGGCACCCCTCTAGTCTTCTCTTTCAACCATGTCTCCTTTTAGATTTTTCCTATGTATATACCCATATATGACGTGTTATTGTTCTGTTCTATTAAAACAGGATTAAACTAGAGGTGTGGTGCAAATTCCATCCATGTCAGTAAATCTACAGAATTCTGTTTAATGCCTCCATAGCGTTCAAAGCATTAGGGTAGTAGTATTTAAAAAATTTATGCCTCTACTGATAGGGTTTTTTTTTTTTTATAGTTTTTTAGAAAATTGAGTTTTATTTTTGAGTATTACGAACAGTGCTCCTTTGGGGTGCCTGAGTGGCTCAGTTCGTCCATCTTCAGCTCAGGTCATGATCTCGTGGTTCATGAGTTCGAGCCCTGTGACTGGCTCTGTGCTGACAACTCAGAGCCTGGAGCCTGTTTCAGATGCTGTGTCTGCCTCTCCCTCCCCCACCCATGCTCTGTCTATCATAAATAAACATTAATAAAAAATTTTTATAAAAAAAATAGCGCTGCTTTGTACATGTCTCATCCTGTAGGATTTTGTAGAAGTAGAACTCTTGGGTCCTAAACTATACATATATTTGATTGTTATTCACATCTTGATTACCACAAGATTGTAACAGTTTTCACCTCTGCCAACACTGAATATTATCAGTTTTTATTATTTTGCTACTTTTGTGGTAAAAGGTACTGTATCATCGTTTAAATTTGTATTTCCTTAATGTCTGTTGAGATTGGGCGTCTTGTCATTCGTTAAATCGTTTCTTTCTTCTGGAATTTACTTGGTCTCATCTGTTCACTTTTCTTTTTGTTTTATTGTGTTTTTTGTAATAATTTGTAGTTCTCTGTGTTTCAAATATATTTGACTTTTATCATTTACAAATGTTTAACTTTATGTTGTTTTTGAGAATGTTTTTATGAAGTCAGACTTGTTGGTTTTTGAATTTCATATCATGCTTTGGAAGAATTCTCCCATCCCAAGATTATGCAGATATAGCCCTGTATTTTCTTGTAATATTTTAATTTTCACATCTAGATCTTTTTCATTTGGCATTTATTTATCTCTTTGTTATTAAATGTAAGATTAAGAATGCTTCTTACAGTTTTCTTATTGCATGTCTTTCAGGTCTTAATAAAAAACTAATGGCTCTCCATTGCAGATTTTTACTTTGAGTTGTTTTATGTAGTTTGAAGTTAACATAGCATATATAAAATTTGAGGAGGAAAAAAATAATTTTGTATCTTTTCAGAGAGGTCATTCTTTAAGTACCCTGGAAGTAAAGTGTATATGTAACCCCTCCCCCCCCAAAAGTGTGTGATCAGAACAGCTAATGATTCAATACTACACTTAAGTGTATTTTAAGTTTTTTGGTTGTTTAATTGATTAGCTGGAAGTAGGCAGTTTTCTTAAATTTACTTTTGAGAGTTAGATTGCATACTGGGATGCTGTTAGATTTCCAAGTTAGACAAAGGATGGGAATATATTGAAGAGAGGTGCAGAGACACTAGTCTTTGTGGAGGGAGCAAGTTATAAAGATAGTTGAGTTTTGAAGATTTTGATATAGCAACAGTTAGGGAGAAAGAGTATATTATATCTCTGTCTCCTTGCCAGTTACTTTCTCAATACCACTTGCAAAACTTCTAAATCAGGGTCAGGCAAGCTATAACCTGTGGACTGAATTTGGTCTCCTGCCTGTTTTTGTGAAGAAAGTTTTACTGAAATGCAGCCATGGCTATTGGTTTACATATATTCTGTACTTCTGAGTCAGACCACGTGGCAGGAAAAGCTTCAAATATTTACATTCTGGCTCTTTATAGAAAAAAATTGACCCCTGATTTAGTTGGCTGGTTCCTTGAATACAGCTCGTATTTTATTTATTTCCCCTCCCCCCCAATATCTAGCACTGTCTGGTGTGTAGTACAAGCTCAATAGATGTTTGTCAAGTAGGTATTTGAAATGTAGACCAATTAAGAGGCAGCATGATATAGTAGGAAGAAAATGCTGCTTTGTAGATGAGGGTTGTGAGTTGCAGTCTCAGATCTGCTCTTAATTATCCTTGTCATTTGGGTTAGTTATTTAAGTCGCCCAGCCTTCAGGAGCCTAATATGTGGAAAGAAGAGATTGGGAAAAGGACCTACCCTAAAGACTTACTCTTCTCTCTTGGATTTTGCAATGTAGTTTATGGTAATCTCATTGGAGTATTCCATTTATGCTTAAGTTTGTAAGGTAGTAAGCAGATAATAGAAATAGCTGGAGGAAAAAGAATGATTTTCACTGCCTTGGCGTGGACACTATTTCTGATTGCAACTGATGATACTTGAGGATTATGTGACTATTTGCATAGTAATTAAGTCTCAGTATTTTTTCCACACTGCCTTGACAGTCTGCAGTATTCAGTTTCTATAGTTTATTGCATTTAGTGAAAACATTTGACTTATTTTTTGAGTTCTAACCTTGTGAGATTGTTAAATGTAATGTCTGCTATGTTTATTGAAATTCTTCATGGACATGCTTACTGTGGGACTTAACAGTTCTGGAATAATTTTGGAAGTATAATAGCAAGTTTTTGTTTTTCATAGGTTAGACCAAAGCCATTGCTCTTGAAGTTGTTAAAGTCTGTTGGTGCACAAAAAGACACTTATACTATGAAAGAGGTAAGCTAAATTAAGCGTGAACAAGATAACTAATGTCTTATTAGTTACATGTAGCCATGGGAAGAAATTGGCCATATGGAGGGATTTTTCAGGAAGCAGCAATATTAAGCATTGTCATTTGGACTATACTTTGAAGCTGAAAATTCTAATTATACTTGAATATCACTTCTCAGCTAGCACCTCTGAGACAAAGGGAGACTCTGTAGGGGTTCTTAGCATTTTTGTGCTGTGGACCCACTTGGCAAACTGGAAGTCTTCTCAGAATCCTGTTTCCAAATGCATGAACCAAAATGTATAGGATTACAAAAGAAACAAATTATGTAACATAGTTATCCAAATAGTAAACAAGCTTGATATATGTGCTTTTGTGTGTGTGTGCTTTTTTATTAACACATTAAATAAGATTTAGTAGTAGACCTAATAATGTAATTTCAAGGAGTATAGTTAATATTTTGAGGAGTATAGTTAATATTTTGAGATGTTTACACCAAGCATAGTATGATATGAAAACACTTGTGGTTTTTATTGGTGGCAAAAATCACAGGTATTACTAATACTTTGTGGTTTGTTGCCTATATTCATAATTGAAGGAAAGCTAAATTTCAGTGAAAAGTTAGTGAAAATACAGAAATTCTTTTTCCATCCAAATTAATGGACCCCCTGAATTCTATCCAAGGACTTCTTGGGCATCCATGGATCCCAGGTTAAGAACTTCTGCACTAGAGATACATGAGTACAGTATACTGATCTTTCTGGGATAGAGGTGAGCTGATTCATGAACGTATATGTTCTATTTAATGGATACATTTCAATGTATTGTTCTCTAGCTTGAAATTTGTGCACAGAAGCATGATTTTCAGTGAGAGATTGGGTCATCTTAGGCAAAATTTCACTGTGAGTGAAATGTGCCTTTTCCCCATCTCTCTCACTTAGTTTATGGGTCCCAGATTGCTTAAAACACTGAAGTACCTTATCTACATTGGGATAGTGGGTCAAGAAGAGACTCCAGATCATTTTCCTTTTCAGCCACACTTTTTATAAACTTCCTAATGGGATGTTTGGTAGGAGTGTAGGTTCTCTTCTTCCTTGCCCATGGTCTATCAACAGTCTCTTCAGTCCATAGTTACCAGGGAATATTCCTTTCAGTGAGGCCTGCTTAGCCAGTTAAGTCTACAGACAGTAGGGAAGTGTCGAGGTTAAGGATATTTTTAGGGCTGTTAACTTGGGTTTGACCTCATTATCATCATGTAATTAGTTAAACAAAAGGTATGCATTTAGTAGTAGATAGAAATAAGGGGAGGGGCGCTTGGGTGGCTCAGTTCGTTGAGTCCGACTTTGGCTCAGGTCATGATCTCATGGTTCATGGGTTTGAGCCCCGCATCGGGCTTTGTGCTGACAGCTCAGAGCCGGGAGCCTGCCTCAGATTCTGTCTCCCTCTCTCTCTAGAGAGGTTATTCTAGATGGTTGTGGGTATGGTTGCTGGTTGTTTAACCATCTTTAGATGAATGAGGTATTGAATGTTTTTGAAACTAACATTTACTTTTCTTTAATGCTCAGAAATCATATTTCTATTTCAGGTTATATTTTACCTTGGCCAGTATATAATGACTAAACGATTATATGATGAGAAGCAACAGCATATTGTGTATTGTTCCAATGATCTCCTAGGGGATTTGTTTGGAGTGCCAAGCTTCTCTGTGAAAGAACACAGGTAATTCTTCAGTTTAGTCAATTGTAAAAAGCCAACTGGACAAATGTTTCACTTTGCCTCCACCTTCACTCCCTTTTGTCAGAGAAAAATTGTTGCTGTATATATAAAAGATGTGGAAATTTAATTTCTTGGTAAGATAGCATATTGCTTGAGAACCTACATTCTGGAATCTTACAAACCTGGCTTTGAGACCTAGCTCAGCTATTTACTAGCTGTGTGACTTGGTAAATTGATTTACTTGCTCAAAACCTTAGATTACCCTATTTGTAAAGTAGGGATAATATAAATACTTAATGTGGAGTTTATGAAGACAATGTGTAAAAAGCAGTGTTTGACACATAGAACACACTTAAATGTTAGTCATGGTTACTGTAAATTAAAAAATACTGCAGTTACTTTCAAAGACCATCTTTACCCTGTGGTAAAGGCTTAAATTTAAGCATTTGTTACTTTGGAGATTATTTTGTCATATATCATAGCACTTCATCAGCCAAGTTTAACACAGATAACCTTTCTAGAATTACTGGGAACTGAAGACTGTTTTTTTTCTTTCTTTTTTTTTTTTTAATTTTATTTTTTTAAAATTTACATTCAAGTTAGCATATAGTGCAACAATGATTTCAGGAGTAGATTCCTTAGTGCCCCTTACTCAGTTATCCCATCCTCCACACCCCCTCCAGCAACCCTCTGTTCTCCATATTTATCAGTCTCTTAAGTTTTGTCCCCCTCCCTGTTTTTATATTATTTTTGTTTCCCTTCCCTTAGGTTCGTCTGTTTTGCCTCAAAGTCCTCATATGAGTGAAGTCATACGCTATTTGTCTTTCTCTAATTTCACTTTCAGTATACTTCCAGTTCCATCCACATATTGCAATGGCAAGATTTTCATTCTTTTGATTGTCGAAAGTAATACTCCATTGTATATATATACCACATCTTCTTTATCCATTCATCCATCGATGGACATTTGGGCTCTTCCCATATTTGGCTATTGTTGATAGTGCTGCTATAAACATTGGAGTGCATAAACCAGCCCAGCACACACCCAGTCCCTGGATAAACACTTAGTAGTGCGCAACTGTTGGGTCAGAGGGTAGTTCTATTTTTAATTTTTTTTTTTTTTTTTAAATTTTTTTTTTTTCAACGTTTATTTATTTTTGGGACAGAGAGAGACAGAGCACAAACGGGGAGGGCAGAGAGAGAGGGAGACACAGAATTCGAACAGGGCTCCAGGCTCTGAGCCGGCCAGCCCAGAGGACATCGCCTCGAACTTGGGTTAGACCAAGGAGGGTGGGATCTGGCCAGAGCCGGACGCTTAACCACTGCGCGCCGCCCCACCCAGGGCGCTTCTCTGCTTTTAATTTTTTGAGGAACCTCCATACTGTTTTCCAGAGTGGCTGCACCAGCTTGCATTCCCAGTGAAGACTGTTTCTTCAGTCATCCTTTCCTTACATTTGGAATTCCTTTTCCCATGTGGTTTAGCACAGTCTGTGTAGAGCCTTAGCTTGTATGTTTTTCTTAATGGGATGAATACTTTTCACCTGAAACAATTAACTAGATTCTACTGGTGTTTAATGTTCAATAATATTATAGCTAAAAAGTTGGTAATTAAATGGAGTATTTATAACTTTAAAACAGTTTCATTATATAAGCATAGTATGTATTCATTATTGGACAATAGGAAAAGACAAAACTAAAAATAGGAAAAAAAAAGACTATAGTTTGTCATTGAGTGGTATTTTTACCTGTTTTTCTGTTATGTGCAGATGTGTTTTAACCCAGTTGTGAACATACTATATTTAATTTTGTCATGCTTCTTAATTCAACATTATATAAACATCCTTCCATTAAGTCACATTTGTCTAATGTTTATTTTTTTAATGTTTATTTATTTATTTATTTTTTGAGAGGGAGAGAGTGGGGGAGAGGCAGAGAGAGGGAAACAGAGGATCCAAAGCAGGCTCTGCACTGAGAGCAAAGAGCCCAATATGGGGCTTGAACTCAGGAACTGTGAGATTATGACCTGAGCTGAAGTCAGATGCTTAACCAGCTGAGCCACCCTGGTGTCCCTGTCTAATATTTATTTATGTTGTTATTTTACATTTGGCCTTGGGATATAAGCTTTATTTTATAACTATGTTGGTGATTTTGCACTGTTTGAGTGTTGAATCTTCTGATAATGTTTTGAGGTACAGTTGTATAGTTTCTCACATTGAAAGCATAGTTTAAAAAGTATCTTTGACTTGAATTTTAATATGTTGAGAGATTAAACACTGGGGAGATTACTAACTTGGAAAAAGGGTATGAACAGGAATACTGGTTTTTATGAGTTTACAGAACTGTGTCATTAGTTCCAAGAGGGAAAAGAAATAATTGGGATTGGCACTTTCCCTTAATGATAGGAATTAGAAATGATACGTAACCAATAACATTCTCTAAAGTCGTTAGTTTAAAAAAAAAAAAAAAGCTGTACCATAACATCAGTGAAGGCTGGAATAACTGAATTGTCTTCCTGTTGGGGTATAAGTTCTATGAGGGCAGAGATTTGTTTCCATTTTATTCCTTGTTTTCAGTCTGTATTTACTAAATGAATGAAGGAAACTTTAAATAAATTTTAAGATTAAGAAAGAAAATTCATTAGGTGGTTGGTCCATGAGTTGATAGAAGTCAAAATTATAATCAAGTTCCTATGTAGGATGCAGGTTTTGCACAACCCACTACCTTTTTAGGCAGTTTACTTCTAAGCTTTAAGTACAGAGCTAGAAATTTTTCTTCTCTGTTTGAAAACAAATATATTAAACTGCTTTCTGCATTCACACCCATTCTCTGGGGTCTTTTGGTGAGGTCCAAACAAGGCATATTTCAGGAAATGGAGATATGAAGTCTTTCAGCTAGAGGGACCTTTGTGATTAAATAAGAGTAACAGTAGGTAATCATACAGCTAATTATCATGGTGCTTTTTAGGGCCTAGAAGCTTACCAGTGGTACAGTTTGCAGTAATTTATTTAAAGTTTATTTATTTTGAGAGAGACCATGAGTGAGCATGAGTAGGGGAGGGGAGAGAGAGTGGGAGAGAGAGAGAACCTCAAGCAGGCTCCATGCTGTTAGCACAGAGCCCAATTTGGGGCTTGAATCCACAAACAGTGAGATCATGACCTGAGCCAAAATCAAGATTCGGACACTTAACTGACTGAGCCACTCAAGTACCCCTGAATGCAGTAACTTAAAATTTAGTTTGTGCACAATATAGTTCATATTAATACGTATTTATAAGTCTGGTTAAGTCTAGTAATATATTTTTATTTTAAAACGTATGTCTCTTTTTTTTCCTCCCTACAAGGAAAATATATACAATGATCTACAGAAACTTGGTAGTAGTCAATCAGCATGGTAAGTTAATTTTGAATAACATAAACAGACACCATGAAAATATTTTAAAGACGTTTTATGTATGTGGAAGTCATTTAAGGGGAAGAAATGAACTACATGAAGTAAAATAATACTGAGATTCTAATGCAACTTTGTGACATGTAAAGTTAAATATCTTATTCCATTAACTTAAGCCTTGGGATATCAGTATTAATATTTGTTCTGAAAGAAAATTTCTGGGTTTTTTGGCATCTCACAAACATTTATTAAACACTTATTTTTTTTAATTTATATTTTTATTTTAATTCTAGTTTAGTTAACATGCAGTGTTATATTAGTTTCCAAGGTACAATACAGTGATTCAGCAATTCCATATATCACTCAGTGCTCATCACAAGTGCACTCCTTAATTCCCATCACTTAATTTCACCCATATTCCTCCCCCGCCCCACCCCGTAGCCATCGTTTGTTCTTTAGAGTTAAAAGTCTGTTTTTTGGTTTGCCTCCTTTTTCTTTGTTTTTCTTTCTTTCTTAAATTCCACGTGTGAGTGAAATCATATGGTATTTGTCTTTCTCTGTTTTCACTTAACATTATACTCTCTATATATATCCATAGTGTAAATGGGAAAATTTCATTCTTTTTTTATGGCTGAGTAATACTCCATTGTGTGTGTGTATGTATGCATAGAATAAACACACACACATACTGTATCTTTATTCATCTATCTATGGACACTGGGGCTGCTTCCATAAAATAATTTGGCTGTTGTAAATAATGCTGCAATGAACATAGGGGTGCATTTATCTTTTTTGAATTGGTGTTTTTGTATTCTTTGGGTAAACACTCAGAAGTGGAATTATTAGATATATGGTAGTCCTGTTTTTAATTTTTTGAGAAACCTCTGTACTGTTTTTCACAGTGGCTGAACCAGTTTGCATTCCCACCAACCATGCACATGGGTTCCTTTTTCTCTACATCCTTGCCAACACTTGTTTCTGAAAGGTAGATAATTTCAGAAGGCCATGCTTACAAGAGATGTCATTAAAACATTTTAAAAGGTTTTGGGAAATAATACAGATACTTAAGTAGGACCATTCAAATAGATGGGGCCCATTTTTTATTTTTTATTTTTTATTTATTTAATAGACAAAACTTTATCAGTTTGTTCAGGTAAGCGGCATCTTCTTTGCCTATCTTTAGGCTTGCAGTTCTTAACTGAGAATCTGATGAAAGCACTAGGTTTGTATTTCAGAGAGATACACGTAAATATATATGGTGGTATGCTAGTAAATGTTTAACAACCCAGTCACTCTTCAGGAAAAGCCCTGATTTGTGGTGTTTGCTGATTTCCATCATGTAAATAACTCCCACCATGGCCATTTTCAAGCTGCGTACATGGAATTGGTAGAAGATACACAGTTCTTTGCCAGTAGGAGCTGGCTCCCAACACACCCCTGACTTCTTAAAGCCCGTTCTTGAACTACAATTAATTGTTTTCAAAAGCTTGTTTATGCAACAAACTGGCCACTCTTGTGCTTCCACTATTCTGTATTTGGACCTTATTGTTACATTGTTTTGTTTTACTTGATTATATTTCTTGTATCCTACTCAGGTTTGCATTTTGCATCAATACAGTGTTTTAGTAATACGGTGTTTAATAAATGTGTTGAGTTGAATACTGTTCCATAGTTAGGATTTAAGACCCAGAAAAGGGCATTACTGTCTTATCCTAGAGTAGAAGTGACTGTTAGGCTGGTAACAAGATGCTTTATTGTTTTACAGAGCTCTTTATGAAATTAAATGTAGGTCAAAAAAATAGTATTATAGTAGTATTTTAAGTTTTTAAAATATTATACCTGATGTATTCATTGGTTCGTGTAAAGACACCTTGGTAGATTACCAGGAAAATTATATTAATGAGATGGTAACCTATAGATTACTTAGGTTATTTCCTTTTGTTATTTCTGTGTTTGTTTCAGGTTTCAGTTAGTAGAATTAACTTCAGAGCTCTTGTAACTGTGTTCTCAACCCGTCACACCTAGTGCTTCCTTTTTATTACATCTATTTTGTAACATCTCCTTTATTATACTAAAACGTAATATAACCTGTCTATATGTACAACTTAAAATACATAACCCATGATATAAAGAAGCAATAAACTTACGATAATGTGCATAATTTCAAAGTGTTAACGCTTGGGCCTGACATTCGTATTAAGATGAAAATGTTTTGGAGGGTATTTGATTATGATCTTTGGCACCTGTATATATTCCATATCTGAAATGCTAACTTCTGAGCTCCAAGTCTATACATCCAACTAAAAACTAAACCTACCTACCTGAATGAGTTTCATCCACTTTAGTTCATTATCTTCCCATCCCAATCTCTTTGTCTTCTGAAGTTTCTCTCTTGGTGAATGGTTTTAACTTCTCTGGAATTGATCTTTCTTCCATGCCTTAGTTTAGGCTTTAATACTTCTGCATTTGTATTATTGCAGTTACTTTCTAATGTTGGCTTCCCTGCCTCTGCTCTCTTTTTCTTCTATTTTGCTGAAGTAATTTGTCCCTCTCCGCTTAAAATGATCATTTATGGGTTCCTTATTGTTCTCTGGATAAAAAGACATACAGTTTTATCTCTTGGATTAAACCTTTTTAGGAGTGCCGGGGTGGCTCAGTAGGTTGAGCGTCTGACTTTTGATTTTGGCTCAGGTCATGATTGCAGGGTCATGGGATCTGTGCTGAGCGTGGAGCTGGCTTAAGATAATCTCTCTCTCTCTGTCTCTCTCCCTCTCCCTCCTCCTCTCCCCCTCTCCCTCCCTCCCCCCGCCCCTCCCCCCTTCTTGCGTGTTCCTTTTTATGCTGAATGGCTGCAACAGTGCTAGGGAAGGTTCTGAAGTGTCATCTGGGAAGCATGCAGTGATGTAGGATTGAAGGCATGAGTGCTGTTTGTTGATGTCCTTGTTCTGTTTTGCAAGACACACAGGATCCTTTATGATCCTGCTTATATTCTAGTAATAATTAACTACCTGTAGTTCCCTGCAACAAGCGTTGGTAATTCATTTCTGGATTTTTTTTTTCACAGGGTGTTCCTCAGCCTGGAATAACTTTTCTTAGTCCTACTTCTTTATATTTTATGGAACCTTTCCTGACTCCTTGTTCCTCAGACCTTGCTGTGTCCCTACCAAAAAATCATTGCTCTGTCGTCTTCACTACACTTTCATTACTCTTAATGTATTCTCTGTATTAAAATTGAATCTTATTACTTATTTCTACAATATCTAGCATGGGGTTGGCCCCTGGGAGACACACATTTAATGTTTGTTGAAAGGTTAAATTGTGTAAGGAGTTTTTCCTGGACTGACAGACTAGTTTCTTTTCTAGTTTGTGATTCTTTGTTGTTGTTGTTGTTTTTTTTTTTCCCCCATCAGAACCATCAGATTCAGGCACATCTGTGAGTGAAAATAGGTGTCACCTTGAAGGTGGGAGTGATCAAAAGGTAATCTTGAAATGAATGCATTCTAGTGTGATGTTTCTTGAAAGTTAGGTTATTTTAAACAAATAATTTTCAGCTCCCGGGTGTTACAAGTTAAGTTTTTGTTTTTCTCCCCCCACCTTGCATGCTTAGGACCCTGTGCAAGAGTTGCAGGAAGAGAAACCTTCATCTTCAGATTTGGTTTCTAGACCATCTACCTCATCTAGAAGGAGAACAATTAGTGAGACAGGTACATATGATTAATTGGCACTTTCAGACAGCTTTTCACTGTTTATTCTCTAATGAAATTAATGCATTTAGGCTTAATGAAATTTTGCGCTTTTTTTTGCCTTAGATGAATTAATTTCTGGGTTTCTTTCATTCTTATTTTTATATGATTTGTTTAAAAATTGCTCTCTTAGCAATATTTTTCTGTTTGACTACAGCACAGTTTTCTGGGCCCAATGGAGTTTATAGTTAGGCACCTATTATTCAAGGTAATAGAGGACAAGCATCTAAACTGTATTTTAGTCATTATTCTTAGTTACCTTAGCGGTTAAAATATTTGTTGTTTCTAATAAGCGATGAAACATACCAGTGAGTTTAAAAACAAAGTAAATAACATCTTAGAAATGAAGATGAGATAAAAAAAAAAAAATAACTGAGGACATTTTTACAAAGCAAAGATAGTGGAGGAGGAGGAGGCTGTTGTCTGATCAAAAGTCAATAACTAAAACTGTGATTCAGATGAAAGAAGAGTTCAGCAGATCAGTGAGATAGAGTAGATAAACCCAGACTAGAATTACGCACAGGAGAGCAGAGGGCGGTAAGGGCAGAGGGTATTTTGTTCACTGAATGGGACTGGAGCAAGTGGTTAGTTATTTGGGGAAGAAAAGACAAATTCTGTCTATACCTTATGCCAAAGTGAATTCCAAATGAGTTTAAAAGATATATGAAAAAATTATATTTGAAGGATATTCACTTTAAACCTGATGGTGTCAATACCCTTATTACATAAAAGTTCTCCAAAATTGATTAAAAAAAAAATTAAAAATCCACATAACGAAAAGGAACAAAACACCCAATTTTTCATAGTAAATACAAATGACTAATAAATAGGGAGGGGATGGTTTTTTGTGATTTAGCTTTATAGACAATAACAAATGCAAAAAGGCTTCTTTTCTAAGCTACCAAATTAGAGATTTTTTTACTCATCCTTGTTAACATGTGTATTGGCACTGATACACTATTGGTGTACCAATAGTTTAACAACAACTTAAACCTTTATGGATATAAAAAGGCTTGGAGTTCTTACCATTATCCCAGTAACTCTGCTTCTAGAGATCTATCCTAGTGATATAATCAGAAATTCAAAGATTACATGTATTTAGAGATACTAATTACAGCATTATTTATAATTAAAGACATATGGTAGAAAACGTCGTCACTCTAGTTCAGGCCATTGCCCTCTGGTCTCCGGACCACAGCAACAGCTTTCTGATTTTGTTTTACAATTGTGTTCCTTCACACAGTACTAAAGGAGGTGGTAAAAGGTAAATTGGATTGCATCACTTCCCCACTTACTCACTTTGGTTATTTAAAATAAAACCCACGCTTTTTACCTTGGCCTAACAAGGCCATGATCTGCCTTTAACCTGGTTTTTGGCCTTTTCCTCCTACCTCTATTATTTCCATTGTACTGATTATTTAGTTCTTCAAGTCAACTTTTTGCTACTTTAAGGTTGTTGGCACACACATTTTTTGTTTTTGTTTTTCCCTGCCAGGAGTTTTTCTACCTCAGCCTTGCAAGACCAGCTCCTCATTTTTCTGTTTTTGCTGAAATGTGACCTCAGAGAGCCTGTCTCTAACCAGTCACAAAGGCAGATTGTTCTTTTCCTTAGCCCCCTACTTGTTTCCTCATAGCACTCATAGCTGGTAGATAATTATGTTTCGGTTGCCTGGGTGTTTGAAATTAAACTTTCTCTGGTGGCAGGGATGATAACTGACTTCACTTTTGTAAACCCACTGCCTAGCACAGTGCCAGACAGTAAGCAGTTGCTCAGCTTTGTGGACTAAATAGTTCAATTATATGAACAGTATATAAATCTATGTCATGGACACCATATTCTGCAGCCATTAAAAATAACGTAAAAGAAAATTTAAGAGCAAACCACCCCCAAATTGTACATATAGTATGATTCAAATACGTTTTTTAAAAGGAAATAAATGGGTGTTTGGGTGGCTTTGTTGGTTAAGCGTCTGCCTTCGGCTTAGGTCATGATCTCACGGTTCATGAGTTTGAGCCCCACATTGGGCTCTCTGCTGTCAGTGCAGAGCCTGCTTTGGATCCTCTGTCCCCTCTCTCTTTGTCCCTCTCCTGCTCATATTGTTTCTCAAAAATAAATAAGCACTTAAAAAAATAAATAAAAGGAAATAAAAACTGGAAAATGATTACACTAAAATGTTAATAGTAGTTCTCTCTCAAGGGTGGCACTACAGATGCTTTACATTTTTTAAATTTTCTGTTTTTTTTATGATTTCTATAATGAGTAATATGATACTTTAATAGAAGAAAATCCCAAATGATATTTTTAATGGAGGTAAACAAATAAGAATCAGTTGGTGTGGTTTTAGGCCTCTAGCCCACATTATTCAACCAAGATCACCTTTTATAAGGAATACAAACATGATTAAGAACTTACATCAAGAACTTGTGATTTAGTTTTGGAGAGATCAACACAGAATTACTTAAAGTATAGGGTATAAGAGTGGGAAATTCAGAGGAAAAAGTTGACTTTGACTAGGAAGGTCAAGAGAAGGAAATGGAGTGAGCACAAGGTTATGCAAGTTGTACCTGTTTCAGGCATATGGATTATGGTTTGTTTAATCCTATAACCCTATTTGGTACTTATGTAAAAGGCTGCAGCGAACATCCTTGCCACATACATCCTTAAGTAATTATGCAGATATTTCTAGGATAGAGATTGCCCACCAAATGTTATATTATTTTACATTTCTACCAACAATGTATAAAAATGTCCTTTCTCTCAAATCTTGAGACTCTCATTTTAATTTTTGTCATTCTTGGGGGTAAAAAAAATGGTATCTTGTTTTAATTTACATGTCCTTGATCAGGAGGTAGGGGATTTTTTTATATGCTTATTAGTCACTTGTATTCTGTGAATTGCCTTTCACATCTTTGACTTTTTTTTTTTAAGTTTGTTTATTTAGAAAGAGAGGGAGGGAGCTGGAGTGGGGTGGGACCAGGGAGGGAGAGAGCCCAGTGTAGGGCTCTCAAACCCACGAAGGATACCATGAGATCATGACCTGAGCTGAAACCAAGAGACTGCTTAATAGACTGAGCCACTCAGGAGCCTCTCTCTGACTTTTTTTAAATCAAGGGTTTTTTTGTTTGTTTTTGTTATTTTTACTTGATTGGTGGCAGGTGTTTGTATATAGTAAGTAGTAACCATTTTATGTAGCAGATATTCTAGGCTGACATTTACTTGTTCATTTTTGTTCATTCTGCCATGTAAACCTTAATTTATTTAACATAGTCTAATTTTGATAAATTTTAAAATTTTTTTAATGTTTATTTTTGAGAGAGACAAAGCACAAGTGGGGGAGGGGCAGAGAGAGAGGGATATACAGAATCCGAAGCAGGCTTCAGGTTCTGAGCTGTCAGCGTGGAGCCCTGTGTGAGATCATGACCTGAGCTGAAGTCGGACACTTAACTGACTGAGCCACCCAGGCACCCTTGATAAATTTTTTCTTGAGGGCTTTGCAGTGTTATGTCACACTTCCTTACCCCAGTATTACAAGAATATTCTCTTAGAAGTATTTGGGTGGTTTTGTTCTTTGTGTTTGGCTCTTTAATTCACTTGGAATTTATTTTTAAATCTAATACATGGTAAGACTCATTCAAGTACCTGACAGATTTGGCAACATTCTGACTTAAAGTGAGAAGTAATTCATTATTTAAGATAAAATTTTGATTACTATTAAAAATAGAACTGAGGAAATTGAAATGTTAAGAATACCTTCTAAGTAAATTAAACATTTTTTGTTCTTTTTAGAAACAAAATGATATATTCTAAAGTGTGATTTTTGACAGAAGAATTTTAGATTGGTCAATGAAAGCTCTAGATGGATTAAATTAGTTGTGACTTAATGGAGACGAAGTTTTGAAAGAGGCTTGAAAAGCTTTTATTCCTTTATTTATTTATTTTGAGAGAGCATGAGCAGGGGAGGGCCAGAGAGAGAAGCAGAGAGAGAATCTTAAGCAGGCTCCACACTGTCAGCACAGAGCTGGAATTGGGGCTTGATCTCATGACGGAGAGATCAGGACCTGAGCCAAAATCAAGAGTTGGATGCTTAACTGACTGAGCCACCCAAGCACCTCTGAAAAGAAAAGCTTGTATGTGTGTAAGTAATGTCTACACACAACGTGGGGTGCAGACTCAGCGACCCCGGGATCAAGAGTCATATACTGACTGAGCCAGGCGTTTCAGAAGCTTGAAAAACTTTTTAAAAATACAGCCTTTTGGGGGTGCCTGGCTGGCTCAGCCAGTAGAGCATGTGAGTCTTGAATTTGGGGTTGTGTTTAAGCCCCATGTTTGATGTAGGGCTTACTTAGAAAAAATAAATACAGTGTTCTGCTGTAGCTCTCAGTTGAACAGATCCAATAAAAGCATTAAGTTTTGAAATGGTAATAATTGACTATTTTCTCTGTTTAATTTCATTGAGATTAAATTTCAGTACAAATAGGTACTCGAGGCAGCTTGTTTGCTAAATAAATCACAACATAGGGTTTTAATTGACTTTTTTTCCTTATATATGCAGAAGAACATTCAGATGAATTACCTGGTGAACGGCAGAGAAAGCGCCACAAGTCTGATAGTATTTCTCTTTCCTTTGATGAAAGCCTTGCTCTGTGTGTAATAAGGGAGATATGTTGTGAAAGAAGCAGTAGCAGCGAATCAACGGGGACTCCGTCAAATCCGGTAATCTTTTCATTTTAAATAAAATAAAACAAGACTCTTATTTTTAAAGTCTAGTTCTGTCAGTCCTAATAAACATTTGGATAGAATGCCTATATATGCAATTGCTGTTATATACACAGTGGTAAATTTTTCTGTCAAATAAAATTACCGTGTAAATCTTCTCTGTCCCCAACCCCAGGTTTGGGAGGAGGCTGGGAGATCGTGCAGTTGTGGGTGTGATGATAAAATTAGCACCAGTATTAATAGTTGTTAATGTCGTCCTCCATAGTGGAGAATCTTTGTGGGCTGTGCACCAGTAGTACATTCACAGAAATTGGAATGGTCTGAGGATTTTTAGTTTTATTTTTAAAAAAATAAGGGAAGAAAAAAAGTTAAGTATCTTAGAATCTAAGGCAAATTTGTTTTGAACATTTAGAGTAACAATATCTTCTTTATTATAGCCATCAGCAAACAAGCCAGCATAGTCTAAGCTACACACTTAGCCGTACATAGGCCTAGATATCAGGAAAGAGGTGTTTAGTAAGGCTGTGAAATACAGGCATGTTGTTACATGGATGGCGGGAGAGATTTAGTAATTTTGATTATTGATACAAAAATCCAAAGAATTAGTAAAAAAAATTTTTTTTTAGAAAGATTCTTTTTTTTAAAAAAAATTTTTTTTTAATGTTTATTTATTTTTGAGAAAGACAGAGACAGAATGCGAGTGGGTTAGGGGCAGAGAGAGAGGGAGACACAGAAGCTGAAGCAGGCTCCAGGCTCTGAGCTGTCAGCATAGAGCCCAACATGGGGCTCGAACTCACAAGCTGTGAGATCATGACCTGAGCTGAAGTCAGATGCTCAACCGACTGA